GAATGTTTGTTTAGTATAACTTGTTACGTAGGCTACCTCAATTATCCCATCTGTTTAGGTATAGTAAGTCAGAGTAAAACTGTCTTATTAAGCACTGAATGTTTAAACATCCAGTGGGCCAATCATATACAGAGTTACATTTGTTTTTCTGCTTAGGAGGCCAGTTAAAACCTAACAGATGTCAACCTTTTGCCACCTTCCTGCAGATCTGTCCTTTCTGCATCATTGATGGTTTCCCACAGCAGCATGTGGAAAATTGACCAATTGCAAAAGACGTGCCAATGTACCGACAATCCTCATTTTTGGTACTATATCATTCAAAAATGTCTTTCGGTTGATTTCATCATTTACAGTCAAACAGTGGTAACCGGCCCATGTGAGTATATATTAGCTCTTTCTGTACAGCCTAATGTCTTAACTGTGTGTGAGATCATGAAACTAAACAATGTGGAAGGTTAATTTAAGGTCATAGTGTGGGGGATGGAAATAAGTCATCTGTTTTGTCTTTGTTTGTGCCCTTCCTCCAAACGTTGTCAACTCAGTTTATGTAGATTTGCACTCATTTGTGTATACAAACCTTCACTAGTGCTCAACAGAGAGTTGCTAAAACATAGGACTGAACTGCAATCTAAACAACTATGTAATATGCAGTTATTTACAGCACTGTCAAAACTAAAGCAGTAGTCAGGATTATGACTAGACTAGCTTACTCTTGTTTTAATTTTTTTAATGATTAACAAAGTTTATGCAGCATTTTCTTAAAGCTTTTCCAACCTTATGTAACTCAGTCAAACTAACCAGACACATTAACTGCTGGCTACAGCGTTTCTGTTATTGCGGTTCACAAATTCCCATTTTTTGCAAGTTTATATATAACCTTTGCTACAGATTAATTTTGTACAGTATATGCCTCTGTATCTCCGTGTAAGTCAGGTCCTCTCAGTGCACATCTGCTTTAGTGTGAAGTGTCAGTCCTGCTTCAGGGAAATATATGGGATATACACTAACAGTGTGACACTAAAACACCTCAAGTTGTGCCTTATACAGGCCTTCAGGTTGTGCCAGAGTGCCCTACCTCATTACATGTCAACGATACTCTGCAAAATTATGCTCGATTTACACTAACCTTCAGGTCATTAAGGGACAATTAACTGGAGAACATTTTGCATTAACCAGAGACCAATTATTTCCTTTGTTCAACTGTACTTTATCTCACAATGATGCCTGTGTGCAGAGTTTTTATTCTGCACACTTGTTCTGCCTCTTTGTCCTTTCCTAATCTGAAAGAGCAAATAGGCACATTGTTAAGTGATGCACTATTGTTGTTTTTCCCGTTCTTCTTCCTCTCTGACGCATTGATCCAAGGTCCTGTCAGGTGTATTTGAACAGGAATACAGGAATTGAAGGCTTGTGTAAAGTGGTGTGATGTCAGAGTGGGAGTGAGTTACCAATATTGTTGTGAGTGGCCACTTGATGTGATGTGTCAGTAAGTGGGAGGAGGAGGGAGGGAAGGAAGGAGAAAGGAGAGATGTAGGACCAGGCTGGCAGAACAACATTAGCGCTGATTCAGCTGCTGCAAACAGAGCAGCATCGGCTTTTTCAGAGAAGTCGTAAGATGGGAAATGGGTGAAAGTCAGTAAGACAGAGGAAGAGAAACACATACCCATGAATGAGAGAAAGATGGGAAGTAGTGGAGAAGAGACAGGAAGAGGGATGTAGAGCTGCTGAAGGAGGAAGAGCAAGTTGCTGTGTTAGACAGTGCCAGTAAAGCACACACATGACATTTGTTCTCAAAGACACACACACAGAGCAGAGTTCATAGGAAACCCAACACCGGCATCTCTTTGTCTCAATGACCTGATGAAGGACAACAGAACCGCAGGGAAGAGGAGAGGTAAGATGCACAGTGTAGAACACAAGGTACCCTGATGTAACACACAAGTAGTAGCTTAGGACAACACAGCAGATATGAGCTTGTCAGCGTCATTGCACAAAACAGCAGAATTATGCACTTTATTACCAAGAATATTACTCACAATAGCAGAAAGCACAATATTTGTAGACTTGACGTAGAGCAACTTACAGCTCTGAATATAAGTAGTAAGGAGTGGGCTGGATTAACAATCTTTGCCAAATTCTTCAGTACAGATTTTCATTTAAGAAGTACTTCAAAGCTTACTATAGGTTAGAGCCCTGAATAACATAAGTAAACAGAGTGCGTATGACTGCAGTTTAAATAAACCATCTTGACGCTAGTTTTCTCAAGTTCTCCGCATCGACATCCAGACCATTACAAACTTTCATAATGTTGACATTTATTAGCTTTCAGGGAGTCTCAGAATTGATTTTTCAGTGCAGAGGATAGCCCCACTCACTACTTGTTTGACTAGACTAGACCCAGGCCATAGAAGGTGTTGCATGAAGTCAGCAGAAGACATTGTGTTCTGCACTTGTGTGTCAAAACACAGGCATTCTCCCACGCAGACTTTCCACTGATGCAAAGCCTTGGGAAATAAGTTAATATTGATATGCTGAAGGTAGAACATACTAGCTAGCTGGGGGAGCAATGCTCAAGGGCATGTTGATACTTAGTCCTTCTCTATCAATATGATCTTTTTCTTTTTGTCCCCTCTCGTGCTTCAGCCTGCCTCTCTCATCACATTTTCACATTTTTTGTTGCATACTGACTTGCACTGCTGCTGTGGTTAGACCATAGCTGTGTATTTAGATGAAAGTCATTGGGTCAGGGTGTCTGTTTGTGGTTTAATAAGAGAAGTGATGTATGTATGTATGTGTGAGGGAGCAAATGAAGGACCTGGGGTGGTCTTGTGTGCTTTATTTGTCTTTTTATCAATTGAATCATTTGCTATTTTAACCTCTCTATCCTCGTCTGGTTCTTCTGGGTCGCAGTGTTCCTACCGTGTTAATTAGCCTCATAGTTGTCTTCAATGCTGTTAAGTGAATTGCCTAATTATTGTTTTTTTTAATCAGGCTGCCAGTTGGAGAGCCACACACAGATACACAAGGTTGTCTCATTCAAAATTATTACAAGATTAGGTGCTGATACAGATTTAGCTGGAAAAAAAGGCTCTTATTGGTTTTATTCTGTTCAGTGTGTTTGCGTTCTCATGGTGCTGCAAAAGAACTGGCAGAGGTCAGTCCATTCAGTGGGCAGAGAGGAGGAAAAACTACAATTTCCAGCCGTCATTCCTTCCTTGTGGAATGCTGGGTTTGTTGTAGTGACTGCAGAATTTCAATAAACTTTAAAATGCAACCAAACACTGGAGCATCAGACAGAGAAGGGGGAGGCATTGTCAAGGTCACTTACTAGCCTGGCATGCCACAGCTACATGTGGCCGATTGATTTCTATAAAGCCACCCAGCTCCGCCCCCCACCCACCATTCTGTCTCATTGATCCTGTCCAAAAATGGCATGACAGGACAAGATGCAGCGGTGCCTCTTCTGTATTATTTAGTACCTTTCTGCCTATGAAGCGATCTTCTCTGTGCAGAATCAATCAGGTAAAGGGTCTGCACTCTGAATTGTCATTGTAAAATATTTTTATCTCCACATACAGTGAGGAACAGAAGTATTTGAACACCCTGCGATTTTGCAAGTTCTCCCACTTAGAAATCATGGAGGGGTCTGAAATTCACATTGTAGGTGCATTCCCACTCTGAGAGACAGAATTAAAAAAAAAAATTCAGGAAATCACATTGTATGATTTTTAAAGAATTTATTTGTCAAATACTTCTGTTCCTCACTGTAACAGGTATGATGTAAGGAGCTGACGTGGACCCAGAGTCACAACAGTCCCTTACAACAGCAGTGTAATTGAACTCAGCGGAGGAGACACTGGATGGAGTGTTTGAAATGCTGTCTTTTGTGTTGTACTGGTCTGTCAGCTGGACCAGAGCTGCAGCATTCATGCTTGTTGGCCCAGAGTAAAAGAAAAAAAAAGGGAGGCCCCCCCCCCCCCCAACACTTTTTCTTTGTACTGTCATGTCTCTCTCTTTCTCTTTTGTCTCCCTTCTTTCTGTCTTGTTTGACCTAAATAGCAAGTCTGACTGCCTGACTGTCTTTTACCACCCCCTGTTAAAGCCTTGGGCACTTTGTCTTAGTGCTGGTTTAATACTGAACTGGACAAGGCATTACCCCTCCCTCAGCAACGCACAAACACACCCCATCTCTCTTGAGTAGCTCCACACACCC